GGGGTATAATGGGGTGGAGTTTTGAAGATTTTTATTCCATGTGAACCCACAATTCTTTGTCCAAATTGTGGAACTCCTTACTTTGGAAAGCCAATCTGCACCCTCTTCTAGCTTTCTGCAGTTTGTTCCTCACGTAAGCAATGGACCGATTAGGTTGAGGCGTTTTTAGTGAAATAATGCCTTCTCTTCAAGCATCTGGTGGTTTTCTGAGCTGTACCCATCCCTCACTTCTTATCGTATCACATTTTCAAACCTATTTCACTGCTGTTTTTAATTTGTTCAAACCATTTTATGGTCACAATAGAAGAACACGGTATGGGGTTTCTTGAATAAATACATTGTATGGCCCAAGACTGCCCAAAGGGAGGCAGATGTCCAAGGCCAGGAAAAAGACAGGCCCACTTACTAACCCTCCAGAGGCAAGAGAAGTCTGCTAAGGATCTTTTCCAGGCTTTGGTGTTTCATCCGATCCAAAAAGCAGGTGCCAAACATTTTTGCAGGCTGGAGACATTCTCAGAGGAAGTATTTGAATTTTTAAAATGTAATGAATAATTTGAAAAGATAGTGGCCAAAAACTTGTTGCTCAGTGTAGTAAATCACACTTGAGTACACCCATGGAATCAATGAAAATTTGCTGAGCCAACTCCTCTATCCATTCCATTGATTCAAATGGACCTGCTCTAACTGCGGCTGACTAGCATAGTAAGTCTCAGTTGGAGTAGGCCCGTTTGAATCAATGGAACATTTGAATCAGAGGCAGTTGACTCACCAAATCTGCATTGATTCAGTTGGCTTACTCTAGTGTGACTTACTACGTGAAGCAACAGGATTTTGGCCATTGCTGAGCTTTTTTCACAGGACTAAAAGTACTGCAAACTTTCTCCAAATCTCTCAAACCTTGGGTCCTTTTAAGGAGAAAGATGGGGTGAATATATTTTACATAAATTAAATACAGTTTATCATGGAAGTGAGTATACCCCCCTCACATTTCATAAACATCTTGGTACTGTATATCTTTTCATGTGACAACACTGAAGGAATGACACTTGGCTACAAGGTAATGCATTGAGTATACAGCTTGTATAACAGTGTAAATGTGCTGCCCCCTCAAAATAACGCAACACAGAGCCATGATTCTCACCTGGGACAGCACGTCTTCATACTTCTACCATTAGGCAAGAGATATAGAAGCATAGCCTGCTGGACAAATAGGCCGAAAAATAGCTTCTATCCATGGGCTGTCAGACTTCTAAATGCCACATAGCACCATGACTAGACTTAACACAACAGACTTACAGTGCAATATGCAACATATACATAACAGTGGAATTGTGTGTGTGTATGTGTGTACACACACACGCGTATATGTATGTATGTGGAAATGTGTGCCTAGCCCTGGTATTCCTGGGGTTAGGGATTTGTTTATAAGCCTGGAAATGTCCTCTATGTTTGAATGTATTCTGTGTTTCTGTGCTTTGTGTGGTATCAAAAGAGGCTCATGCAATTTCACTGCACACATGTTGTGCATTGACAATAAAGGTTTATTATTATCATTATCTTAGAACTGCAGAGCTGGAAGGGACCCTATGGATAATTGAATACAACCCCTGTCAAGGAAGCACAATGGGGAATCAAACTCCCAACCTCTGACTCTGTAGCTAAGATGCCTCAATCACTGAGCTACCCAGCAGTCCTTTTTCCCCTTCATTTCTACCTGTTTATCTTACCTGAAGATTTACCTGAGTACATTGTTTCTGAGTGGCCTTTTTTGGCTCACATAAAGCCACTATTAGGAGGAGTGGCAGACTTTTTGGAGTACAGCCCACTTTGTGGAATTTACATTATTATCACCAATCAGCTCTGTTATGAAGAGTGACTTGCTTTCTTTTGTATACATTTATGTTTTAATCTGGATCTACTCCACGAATGCTCACGCCAGGGCAACTCTCTTTGGTGCCGCATGTCCCTTTTTTTTAACCTCAAAAGGATAGAACTGTTCTAAATCTTTCTCCAGGAAATCTGTTCCACAAATGGTAATGCCCTACCACTGCAAAAGACAGCAGAACACCACCTTGAAAAGCTTATCCTCCTGCTCCTATATCCCAAAGCAGCTGAAAGCATATATCGTCACTAGGAAGAACTATATTGCTTTCTTACCAGAATACGGTCAAAGGCAGAGGGGGTCCCACCACGTTGCACATGGCCCAAGATGGTGACTCTTGTGTCATAGCCCAGGCGTTTCACAACCAGCTGCGAAGAGAAGAACAGGACAAAAACTGCATTATCCCTTCAAAATTCAGCATGTCTTCTGGGCACAAGAGAGAGAACTGGGGTGGGGTGTGTTCCACAGTTCCACCCTGCAGACTGCAATCTAGGCAGTGGTTGCTGTCCCACAGAGGGTGTTGCTGTTATAGAAGACAAAGCTGGCAGCCATTTGAGGAGATGTGGGTTAAGGGAACGGGGCTGTATATATAGGGGCAATCAATATAAATGTTGCCTCCTTCATCCAGAGGGAACAGAGTCTCCTGAAACGGATATGAAGCTGCCTCCTTCATCCAGAGGGGACAGAGTCTCCTGAAACGGATATGAAGCTGCTATCCTCAGGTTTGGAGTGCACAGTTGCCAACATGGGCAGCCTCTGCCTTTACGGGTACCTGGGTTCTGGAAGAACTGCTCAGGACCACAATATAGTCAGGATGTCTGCCGATATTCCCCTTTACTGAAACTGGCATTTCCTTTGGCAAGGAAACTACAAAGGTGGGGGGTGGGGTGGAAAACATACATGCAGATTCCCATAAAAACAGTGAGGTTTGCATGTTTCAAGGTTCTTCTGTTTTTGAAAAACTTGCTGCTCTTAGGAAACTGTTGCATAGCCAATACCAGCAATAGTATGTGGGACCCACCTCTCCTCCTACCACCCCAAGCTAGACTCTCTCCTGATGCATACCAGCAATACTATGTGGGACCCACCTCTCCTCCTACCACCTGATCTGCTAGACAATATGGATGGTTTTATCCTTCTTCTGACTATAACCCTTTGCCCTTTTAAGGCCAGATTAAATGGGACCTTTTGTCTCTCAGTGAGGCTCCTCAGTGCTAGGCAAAATAGCAATAAAATTACATACGCCCTTTTGTCACTTACAGTTTTGATGTCCTCCGAGGTGATGGGCTTGCCGTGCTTATCTATTGCTCCTTCAGCCACAATAATGATGTTCAACCGGGAGCCTCGAGTTCTAGTCTAGGAGGGAAGGAGAAAAAGAGAGAAAATGCATTTCAAACTAGGCCCCAAAGCTGGAACATAATCAGCCTTGGTCACTCAGTGGGATGACCTCTGCTGAGAGAAAAAGGCATGTTTTCCACAGTTCCACATCAACAATGTTTAGAGTCTGACTCCAGAATTTTACAGTTTGAGACTCTCAGCTTTTGAGGCCGAAACATGTGGCGCCTTTCCTGCTCTTACGGAGTTTTCTTCCCAGCAGGTGCTCTGCTTTATTATCTCTGGAATTAGACACGCAAAGGAAGCCTTTGTATACATTCCAGAGATAACCACACAGGACTCACAAAACGCTCCTCCTTTTAATCTGTTTTTACAATTACATCTTCTTTGCCGCTTGAGGAAGCACTTTTTCTACACAGGGGCTGGTGCAGGCTGTTGATTCTCTTGGGCTTCCTGGTGTTGTTTTTTTTGCGGGGTGGCAGCAACATCTTCCCAGGAGCTTTCAGTTCCATCAGAAAGCTGGTTGCTGGAGGACCTGAGTTTCAGTGGTTCCAGAGAGCCAGTTTCAGAAGGTGGTGCTGGAGGATTACTGCTTGACCCCAGCCTGGAGGTCCTATAGGTTCACCATTCCTTTCCTCATGCTGTTCAACATCTCCATGAGCTGCCAGGCTGACATCATCCAGAAATTTTGCCTGAGGTAAATCACCAATGTCAGGGGTCCCCAACCCAGTGGCGGTCCATGGGCTTGCTGGAACTGGGCCGCAGAGATGGATCTCTGCCGCCCCCCCTCCTGGTGGGCGTGTCCCCCTTGTGGGTGGGTGTGCCACGCTCGCACGCATGGGCTTGAGTGCAACATGCCCACTCCGTGAGCGCAACACACCTGGCCATAAGCATGACACGCCTCTCCGTAAACATGACACCACTGCCCTCGAGCGTGACACCCCCATGAGTGCGGGGGTGCCCCTGCCCCCCGTGCACACAGCTCGCACCCCCCCAACCAGTCCGCAGTCCCAAAAAGGTTAGGGACCACTGATGTAGATGACTTCCAACTCTATTACCTTGCTGTCAGTCAAGGTAAATGCATGTGTTAATCCACAGCACCTGGCTGTGATAATGGAACACATAAAAGCTAGTGAGGCAGAAGTGAGGAATCTGTGCTCTATGGATGTTGTTGGACTCTTAAGTCCCATTCATCTGAGTCTCATTCACTGGCCATGTTTGCTGGGGATGACGGAAACTGGAGTGACATCTTCAGGTTGACATGTTTCCCATTCCTAACTCAATGGCTTGAGAATCTGTCCCTAAAAGTGGATACTTAGATTTTTGTTACCTCTGTCAGCCTCCTGCACAAGTGATCTTCCCAGTTATCTTCTGGTGGAGATTCAGGAATGAAAACCCAGTCTGCACCACTGGCCAAGGCTGTTATAAGAGCAAGATAACTAAAGGGAAAAAAAAGAAAAAAAAGGATTATTATCTAGGGTCATCTAGAAAAGGTTATCTTGGGTTAAATTTGACTAGATATTAAGAAATGTGACTTAGTGCTTTCCAGAATTGTAATGGCTGAAATCCTGTTGCTTAGCATAGCAAGCTGCTTTAGGGTAGGCCCATTGAATCAGTGGCATTTGGTGAATCAATTCTTCCATAGGTTCCATTGGTTAAAATGGGCCTATGAGATTTACCATGCTAAGTAGAGATTTACTATGGTAAAGTAAGTCACAACTAGTGTAGGCCATCTAAATGAATGGCTAGCTGAAAGTCCAATGTGGCTACAAGAAAAGCAAATGCAATTTTAGAACCCATTGAAAGAAGTATAGTCTCCAAATCCTGTGAGGTTCTAGTCCCCTTCTATTCGGCACTGGTTAGGCCTCATGTAAAGTAATATGACCATTTCTGGACATCACACTTTAAGAAGGATGGCAACAAACTGGAGCA